GGGGGGGGTGGGGTGAATCTATTTGAAGTAAATCACTTTAACTTCGTAGTTTTTTAACCAATTTAAATTCGACAATTTTTTTAAAAATAGTTTGTTATCCGACCTAAAAAACTCACAAATGTAAAATATTAAAGATTTAATAACTTAGACCCCTATTAGTAACAGCTGAAATGGACAACATCTTTCCAAGTTCTTTCCTATCGGCAAGGTGTTAGAATCCCTGCGAGTCTCTTTTGTGTGGAGGCGGACTATGAGCGTATGAATATCATACAGGTGGGGATACTAAATAGGGTAGTACGGTGGTCAGTCAAACGCAGGTGGTCAGTAGAGCAGGGCGGTCGCACTCTGGACGTGTCAGTGGTGCGCGTGTTAGTTTCGTTGCCAGAGGCTCGTTACTAATGTGTTGTGTTTTTTTTTTGGCTAAGCTTTTTAGTGGAACCAAAATCGCTAATGGGTGCTTGTGTTATTAGATTATATTGTAGTTAATAAAAGTTTATAATTTATAACGGGAAAGGACTTTGTTTCAAGTGTTTTGTTTCAAGTGTTTTGTTTCAAGTGTTTTGTTTCAAGTGTTTTGTTTCAAGTGTTTTGTTTCAAGTGTTTTGTTTCAAGTGTTTTGTGTCAAGGGTTTTGTGTACTTGGGGCGCAGTGTGTTTCTACTGTGCAGTGTGTATAATACCCTACTAGGCCCTAGAGAAAGGAGTCAAAAGAAGTGATTCGTGACACCTGTTTTAACTGGATAAATTAGCTAAATTAACTTAAATATTTATTTTAATGAATTTTATAGCTTCCCTTTCAAAATGGGAGCCTATTATATTTAAATTGAATACGGCCATATCTTTGGCGTAGGTAAATACCATTTGTCGAGTATAGGTATGCACTTGCATTTTTTAAAAACTATTTTAAAGCACAAATAGGCACCAAAAGCTGCACCCTGAACCCGCTGTAACACATGATCCTGTGGGATTGAAGTTGATACAATAACGTTCCCTCTTGAAATATTCAGAATAAACATGTTACTTGAGCACAAGTCGCAACGTGATGCACAGCATCCCTGGTAAAAAGTGCGTGAAATCATACCTAGGAGATAGAGTTCATCGCCTTGGAGACCATTTTAAAGATCATCTGTACAACATCAATGAAAAAGACATTTCTTAACATTTCAATAGTGCTAACCATAATGGAATATTAGACATTGCAGTTACTGGTATATTGTATGGTAGTCATGCATCAAATATAATTTATGTGGGAAACAATTAATATAAAGATCCTTTACATTTAAGCCATACGGTATAATTCAAATTCACCATTTCATAAAGCTGTAATGTCCTTTTTCTATAACTGTAATGTCCTTTTTCTATAGCTGTAATGTCCTTTTTCTGTTGTTTTTTTTAAAATTGTTCTTCCGCCTACTTTCTTTTCGTTCTTCTGATCCTGTTATTTTTGTTAGGGACTTGTTCCCATGCTTAGTTCTTTCATCTTTGGGCATATCTAGTGTTATGCACTGCCTTCTATCGTGAGAAATATAATCTCTTATTTTAGATTTATGGCTCGTTCTAAACAGTGCCTAACAAAGGACGATACCATAGAGAAATACAATAGCAAAAATACGACACTCAAAACAGTAGTAATTACAATTGATAAGATTTAAGTATTAATAAAATTTAAAAAAAAAACAAATACTTACAATCATTCATCAACTTACAGAGTATGGGATGTCTTGTACAGTACACAGTTAGTAAAATTTGCCAATTAATAAAGTAAAATGAGGAATGCGAATAAACCCATGAGTACACACATAATAATAATACACTTGTCTCATAAAGTGAAAAATATATATCCGTGATCTCCGTCCCTTAATGTTCTCTGAACCCCTTACATATATGCAGCTTAAGACGCGTTCCAGAAACAACTTAGACATTGTTTACTTTTCTAGTCCACTCGCGAACTTTCCACAACATACTATAACAGATTAATTATTTTTAGTTGTTAGCGGTAGTAAACACGGCAAGATGAAAGGGAATAGGCCACACCCAATACGAACGCGGCGTTTGGCAGCACGGGGGAAACGTGACGTAAACACGTCCTACATAACACTAGGAAGTACATAATTGTGTAACTTTAATTTATTATTGTGCTTTTTTGTTTTACTCGTGAAGACATTGGCCGAGACATTTAAATTTATAGTCTCTCTAATCATAATCAAAACATATACTTTTATTTACACAATGTGTGACTCGTTAATCTACCCAGGGGCGGCGCCGTTGGTGAGAGTTGGGGTATTGGTGGTGGGTGGACATGTAATGTCAGTGAGTGTCATGTCAGTGCTAGAGAGTGATCGTCTTGTTGGTGTGGGTCGTGAAGTTAGATTTGGTGTATGGTGATGATCTTTGATGATCTAATGAAGAGTGTTGATTGGCAATTAATTCTTTAAATATTTTACGGTAAACTAATATAATGCTAGATAATTTAATAAATCCATACGTGAATTCATCTTTATTGGTTAATTTTACTCTGTTTTTTTTGTTTTTTGTTTTTTTTGTGTGTGTTTCAATAGTTATTTAAATTTTAAGATTTCACTAGTTTTCATGTTGCCAAAGAACTACAAAAGTCATGAATTTTAGCTCAGATATGCCTATCAGTCAAGCAAGTTTGTGCAGTAAGTGCCCTTTGACTTGGCTTTGACATTTTCTCGCCCTTAAGAAACTAATTGGAGGATTATAATTATATCCTGTATATTTATTTGTGTTAACTTATATAAGGAGTTGAATGGATTTCCTGACACAACTTGTATTTTGATTGCAAACTAGTTCTCTCTCTCCCTCCCTCTGCCCCCTCTCTCTGCCCCCTCCCTCTGCCCCTTCCCTCTGCCCCCCTCCCTCTGCCCCCTCCCAAGCTAACATACGAAACTTCGTTTTTGAGAGCTGAATGCTACCCTGACGTCAAACGACCCATGGGTAAACAGGTCTGTATAGTGTTGTATACAGGACAGGGGAGAGAACACAGCCGCGTAATTATACGAATGAGACGTCACGAGACTTTTGTAGGTCAATTAGTCACTGCCCCCCCACCCCCCCGCGCGCATTCAATTTAATAGGATGGTTTAAACGTCCAAGGTCCAAGGATACCTGGCAGTGGCGTATGCAAGAAGGAGGAGGGTTTGATGGGGTGGGGTAAGCCTGACCCTCCCCCCCCCCACTCCAGATAAAAGAGGGGGAAAGGGACAAAAAAAGAGAAAGACCTTTGGTGGCAATGGGTGGTCGTGATGGTGAAGCTTGGTGGCGTTCGTTACGGAGGGCAGCGTTGGTGATGGCTTGGTGTTGGAAACGGGTGCTGGTGAAGGGTGGTAGAGCTGGTGAGAAATGGCGGGGGCTGGTGAGAAATGGCGGGGGTTAGAAATGGCGGGGGTCGGTGAGAAATGGCGGGGGTCGGTGAGAAATGGCGGGGGT